ATCATGGGCTGGTCCGGAATCTATTTCTTTCAAAAGTGTTGCACCAGGTTTACGTTGTCGGCGTTTCTCTTTAAACCTAGTCGTTTTTTTATGGAGGAGGACAGTTGAATGAATCTGAGGTTAAGTGATGTCGCACCTTCGGATCGATTAGAAACGTGTGAATACAAGCATACACTATGGCTATACGTTTCACTGCAACTGCCCACAACACAACATCTAAAAACTCTCTCTCAAAAAAAAAGAAAATAGACAAAAAATAAAAGCAAAAACGCCAACCGAAAAATGTATATCGTTTAAAAGCATACTGAACGACCAGTGTTATTACGGCTCGGGCGTATGACTTCCTCTCACATTTTGTCATTTGGTGCCGCACTTTCGGCGAGAGTCAGAAATCCGGAAACAGTAGACCGTTTCACGATAGATGGGCGTGGCTACAACACGAGAAATATCCCAAATTTACTTGGATACGAGTAATCATTTTCAGCAAAAAAATCAATAACTACCCCTTTTCAGTGGGACACAGATCTAAAATAGGAAACGTGAGGGTGGGCATTGCACAGGCACTTTAATTTTGGAGCCAACAGACAAAAATTGAGTCAATTTTTAGTTTTTACACAAAATTTGGCTACTTTTGTTCCAATCTTCTGAAAAGAAGTGCAGTCTGTAAACAGGACTATTTTGTGAATTTGTGAGGAAAAGAGGGAACTTGTGGTGAAAAGGTTAAGAATGGACTTGATGGCAATTGTATTGTGTTGTTCTCTCAATCAAATGGAAATCCCATGTTTTACAGCCTTGCCATAATTTACAGGGTATATGCCTTATAGTCGCTATTTACAAGGACATATTTTCAATGCCAACTGTGTTACTTTGATGTGTTACTTTAAGGTTATTGCCTATACAAAACCTTCAATTCCGCAACAGTTATGAACATGTCTATCGCAGACAAACAAATAAGTAATAACTAAATACAAAATATTAACTTATTTGTCTGTCTGAATTGAATGTGAATAAATAATCACATGATATAATGCATAGTGCTGTCAATTGTAAACTATGCTATAGATGTCAGTCCAAGTATAGTTATTGTTTGCTGATTGAATTACATGTAAGACTGAAAAGATAAGAATGTACAAAGTCCAACAATATTGATTTTATTTCATAACTGCGTACATTGTCATTAGTAATTGTTTGGTGACCCCCAATTTGGTTCTATTTTTAGGTAAAATGCCCACTGTTGTCTCCCCGGAGTTGTATCGAACACGATTCTGTGAGGCCATGGATAGGTACTTTCTGATGGTGCCCGACAGATGGACAGGACTGGGAAGAGACGTGGAATGCTGATGAAACTGATGAATGGAAGGATGCATAGTACTTAGGTTGGAAAGTATGAGTACATGAACTGGACTAAAAAAATAAATTTTATTTATTATAAATGACATGATTGGTGGTTAAATTTTAAAAATGTGTTTATGATAAAAGGCGGTGATTGTTGCGTCATACTTGCGTGAGATATTGGTCTCATATAAACAAAGATAGCAACTTTGACTGTTGCGCAGAAAAAGTTCATTGAGTTGTGGGAGAACCAATGTTTATCAACACAAGTGTCTCACATGCATGGTGTGACAACCACCGTCCTTTAAAGCTTTATATTCAAAACTTTTGAATAAAACCTATAAGGCTGGTGGTTGTCGCACAGTGCGTGTTAGAATTTCATGTAAATAAACAATTTAACATACACTGTATATGTTGCTATGAGACACCCATTGAACACAACGCTGTGCAATGACCAACATTTCCAGTTCAAAATTATTATTTTAATTTACAAGAATTTGGCAAATACGGTCCATGTAAGTTTCTTAAAAATTATGAGAAAGTGAATTTTCCCAATGGACTTCTGGTTGATGTGAAAATAATAATGGTTGCCAAACATATTTCCATTGTTATATTAAGTGGCGGCCATTTTGATTTGCTGATGTTTTTTGACATCACTGATAATGTCCTTATAAGATGACCAATGACACTATATTTTGAGATTTTTCAAAATATTTGACATGACAGATTTAATACAAGTTTTGAATTAAGGATCAGTCGACCGTATTAAAGAAAGTGTGGAATTTTGTCAGAAAATCAAAATTGAGACAACCATTCAATATACCAAGTTGTATAACATGTGATGTGCTGATTATCACATTCACTGTAAAATTACCTATTTTCACTGACATTTAATTTCTCTGTTTTGATATTTTGAACATACTCACTGGGTTTTAAGTTTACAAATTCACCAGTGAAATAATGAGTTCCAATGTTATTTTGCATGTTCACATGGATTTCATTTAGCAGATTTTACTTGTTAGCGAAAATAGAACCTAGAAAATAATTAATGGATTCACAGTCACACATCATAGTGTTTCGTATTGGTTTTATACGATGTACTGTAAAGTACATTATTTTCACTGAAAAGACTTTTTGGCTGTTTTCTAAGGAATTTATTTTCACTGATTATTGACGAGTTGAATGTAAAGTATGAGAAAAAAAGGTATATTCGCTGGACTTTATTTTCACTGAAACATTCCTTAAGCGAAAATAGCGAAAATTAATTCCAAGCGAAAATAAAGTATTCTACAGTATTCAAAACATGTAAAGATGCTGTGTTTTATACACAATTTTCAAGCATGTACCAATTGTAATGCTGTAACTGTCAGATCAAAAACTACATGATTTCATGGGGCTGTATCAGCAAGGCAATAAATAGTTTGTATCATGAAGAAAAAGCTACTAAATTTGCATCTAGCTTTGATACCACTGTTTTCAATTTCAAAAACTTTAACAAAATTATTGTTAAACTTAAACAAAATTATCCTGTTCGTATACTGGTTGCTGTTTTTCATTTCAAAACTTTACTTTTACAACATTAGCATATCAATTTTATATACTGTTTTCCCATTTCAAAACTTGTCAAAATCAGCATATACTGTTTTGTTGATATAATTGTTGTGTATATATTACCTTATGTTAGAGCATGGTTAGAGGCTGCATTGTTTTGTACATTTTAAGAAATGCAAAGTAATATATCATAATAATGTTTTTGTCCAAGTATGTTTTGATGCTTATTATGATAGCTGTATCACAGACCTTAGTTACCACCTGTAATTGTAATCTATGGTCTGTGTTTCCAAAATATTTTATTTCATGCAATGAACTATTTTCTTAGAAACTTATTTAAATAGGAAAAAGCTGCTCGGATTACTAATTATAATACATGTATACAGAAAAAAAATAGTAGGGGGTAAACATAGTCCTTTGTAATTCAATATAACCAGTTCTTTCGGACAAAGTTTCCTTTTTCAATGATAGATATGAATGGAGATATCAAAGCAAAATAGAACAAAACATGCGAATTAACTAGATCAGAAATGGCATAAACTGGTTATCTATTCTCTTGGCTTTTGTGTATTGAGTGCTTTCAAAGGTGTATCATGCACAAATGTTTTCCAGTCATGTTCCTTGTTAGCCACTGGTACAGTCTACCTATAGTAAGTTGTAATTTGAACAGTAATAAGGACCTGTAAACACAGAATATGGATGCATGCTAGCAAGAGAGGACAAGCAACTGGGGTATTTTGGGGTCAAATACAAATTTGACTCATCATTAGATTTTCTCATTATTATTCAACTTGATAACAAACTGGGATGAAGAAAATGTTTATTACATCCCCACTAGTTGAAACTCCAAATAAAATGTTGCAATCATGATTCAAATATTGGATTGTTTATAAGGAGATTTGACAAAGTGAAGTTTTCAAAGTGTCTCTCTTGTCTAGTAGATGTGCTT